CTGGGTCGTTGTAACTCGATAAACAGCTGATGTGTGATGTGTTGGAGTATCGTCTTACATTTACGTCGGGTAATAAAACTACGCGTCAGTCCATAGCTCCATATGGCCTTTTGGTGTGTGGCAACGTCGCACCGGCCTATTTCCATGACAATAACAGTAATAACAGATGTGTTAACCTAAACATCCCGCAGACGTTCAGTTATAAATTATTGCAACAATGCAACAGCTGTTTCGGTAGACCGGGTCTTTGTCGTTGCCACTCTTGGCTTGCCAGGGCCTTGTTAGAAAAGGCTACGGACAGTCGCATCGTGTTAGTAAATTAAAAGCTTAGAACATAGAATGGAGATTGGAGGGACGGCTATTATTTTTCCTTAGATGTTTTGATATAGTTTCAGTCGTAACTAAACCTACTGTAGAAATTGTAACAATTATAAGTAAATTTAAACATACTTAACTCGATATGAACAGTTTGATTTTACGTTTTATGGTAATTAATTGTTGATGTAATGAATCAGATTGAAAAATAAAGCCAAATACTTTGCACTAAGACACGATCAAGACCTACGTGATGCTTACTGTAACTACTTTTCAATAAACATAATTTTTGTCAAACATTACTAATGTTCCTGTGTTAGATCATTCTAAAACTTCAACTTGGGAATAGACCAACTACTTTACGGCAATGATTACAAGTCAGAGATTGTGCAAAGGAAACAGCTGATAAGCCAATTGACCATCCTTATCACCAACATGTCCTTGAACTTTATCATAACTTTCACGTAATTAGCACGATACTACCGCTATCTAAGTTACGTTTGAGGATTCAATTACCAACAATTTACTTAAGGAGGTGACAAGTAAACTAGTGATAACGAGTAGGATAGCTCATTTTCACTGGTAATTGGATAACAACCTCTTTTCAACCACTGTATGATAAATAATTCGTAAAAATCTAATTTTTACTTCTTGTTTGAGATTATATTTTGTATGTTTACATTTATATTTATAAAAAAGTTATTTTTTCATTTTTATGTGACGATTTTATCATTTATACTAATCTACTTTAATAGGATGATTACTACATCTATGATGTTAAAGATGATCCGGTAGGACTCACGCAATTTGTGTTTGAGTCATAATACAGTAGTTATTCTGATATTGCTAACGGTCCAGTGGTTGAGATAACTTTTGATCTTTTTGTCAAAGGTTTTGCGACCTTAAATGTTGATTTGCGTTATTGTTGTTGGAGCTTGATTAGACTCTAAACAATAATCACTAATGAATATCAAAATTACGATAATGTTACTGATTGTAATTTGAAACTTTTGCTGTTTGTAACTTTTTGATAGCAACACCTCCCTATTAGCCTAGCTATGTAATTATTAGAAAAAGTCCCACAGAGGAAATAACAAATTTTCAAACATAGTGTCAAATAAATAGTACGTAATGAAATGTATATTTCCGTACAATAGTTAAAGAAATAATTAATTTAAAGCACAATTTAAAGAAATAATTGAGTTTGCTATACAGTAAATCCGTTTCCATTAAATTCGTTTTTAAAATAAAGTTGTCTGGACAGCCGAGCGGTTTTAGTGCTCATCTTCAAATCTGAAGGCTGTTTGCTGTTTTCATCTCATAAGTGGTGTCATCGACACATGGTAACAAGAGGAAGCTGCAATTAAGTGCAAATGCCGTGAAAGCACACACAATTTTGACATACAAATCAGAATAATTTTAAATCCAATACTGGTTAGGGTGTAGGCCTATATTTGGTAGTTACTTTTTTAAATTTTAAGAAAAGTAACCAAAGGTTTTCTTTAAATTTAAAGAAAAGTATTTTTTACTGTATAAGTAATACTGTTACTTTTGAATATGGGTTTTGCGACGGTCTTTCCAACAAATCTAAAACAACATTCTTATTGATTACTTTTCACTATAGTGCCTGTCACGTCATTTCAACCACAACAACATAATAATCACCTTCCATTCACTTCCGGTTGTCGTGTTCAGCTGTCGGAAGTATATCAGGATTGCCAACTGAGGCATATAAATACTCTGCTCCATGCAAGTAACCTAACACGACTCTCACCAGCACGTGCTAGCTAGATGCATATACTCATCGGATCGTAAAGTGATTCAGTGTTCTAGCTATAGCTATAGTATTTAAGTATAGGGTTATTAACGCAACCCAATTATAGCCTGTACGATGTAACCTGTCTCATGACCCTCAGTATATCTGGTACTAGCTAGGGCAGTCCTCATCCCCACGTAGAGGAGGGCCATGAGACAGGTTCCATCATAAAGACCCCAATTTGCGTTGAAAGAACGCCCAGTATATAAAGTACATCTAGTGACGATAGCTAGAAACAGGTCAGGAGGAGACAGGTTCTATCATACATACTATAGAAGTACAGATAATCACTGTTTACAATCAAAAGCTCTTAAGCTGGCAACCTTCCTCTACTTCATTGATGATTTACTGATGTACATTTTAGCATTGTTGTCTACAATGTTTAGTGTTGTTAGAAATGTAGTTGTCTGAACCAAAGTTGCTGTACAGGAATTTGAAATGTGCTTCATTTACATGTTCATTGCGACAGAGGTTTTAATCATCTTCCGTAGAAAAATATCACAATATAACATCCTAAACAGTGGTATTGCATTGGCGGACAGTCAGGTCGTAAGGTAGAACGGGTAGAACCATGTAGAACCATTGTTTTATCGACTGAAGCTAATGGGCAAAGTTTGTGAATCGCTGAAGTTCTATGATTTCCTACAATGAAACGAGATATATGTTTAAAAAATCAGCTGAAGTTCCATTTATGTGAAAATTCTATTATGGGAACCTCGATAACAAGTCTCCTCAATATGACTTGTTGTCAAGGTTGACATGTCGAGGTTTGCAATAACAAGGGTTGTATGAAGTCATTGTTGGTATTTGAAAATGACTCTTGTTATCAGGAACCACTTTGTCTTCTTATTGAGGTTCCACTGTATAATTTAAAAAAACTTGGATTTACTTTTACAGATTGGAAAATGGTTCTGGGTTTCAAAACCACCAAAAGTGTTAATTTCCTTATATTTTCTGTAAATACTAAACAAGCAAAGTTATTGGAGGTTTTCTTAAGCACAAATGCTTCGACTCAGATTTGCTGTTAACGCATCCCAAACTTTACACCCAAATCCAAAATAGCACGAGTTTTCCACAACAATGGAACAATCACATTGTTGATGCACTTCCGGTTCAGCTGTCGGAAAGACACTAGGTTAGCCAACCGCGAAGAATGAAATATCCCACGATACAGCCCGCGGACCCACCTCTTCCTTCACGCATGCGCCAAATGCCAAACTTTCTAATCTTGCGCAACTTGTCAAATTGTATGTTGCGTCTGCAAATTAGAATGCTGAACACATTTTCGCCTGCCACTGTAATGAGGGTCTGTTGTTCGCTAAAGTGACTGTTCTTACAAAAGTGTTTTGTTTTGCATACAAGCAATGGCTCTTGAGGCCTTTCCACACCTACCTGATCGTAGGTGTGGAAAAATATATCTTTAAAAACTTGTTTAGCTACTTTTCTTTTATATCTTTTCAAATGGATATTTGTACAAAATAAGTTGTAATGGTCTCTCCCAAAAAGACAGCGAATCAGAAAAAAAGCTACGAGTACACATACTATACTACTCACTCTATATTTATGTCCAGCTTAAAGTACAAAATAAGTACTAAACTGTCGTGATTCAAGGTATAATCATAGAACATAGAATAACAATCAGCTATTTATTTATTCTATGGTGTAATACAGTTCATAATTGATCTGGCAATAGTGTTCTTCCTTTTCCTATAATTGGTTTGATGTTTGAAATATGCAGATGAAGCTATGAAAGTATTCACAAGATGGCTATAATTCCGATTGGCTCATTCAATTGCGTTATTGATCATATTCACCATGATCTAATGCAATGACTCATCATTGAGAGGAGCGTCTCTGCTGCCCTACACTACCCCTGTTTGGTCAATCGCTTTAAGTGTTTAACAATCCATTACGTCACTTCCGGTCTGGGGATATCCACATGAAGCCGCCTTAACATGGTGCCTACTTACAATTGTTGTGGGTTAATTCGTAGAAACGAGTTTTGACTTGTTTAATCAATGAAATGAAATTCGTTAGTTATCTGCGGTTGAGCTAGCTTAAGCTTATTTACAAAAACGCCAGAAAGCCTCGAAAGTAAACATGTTTATAGATGGAACATGTATTATAGCCAATGAATAAATGATGGACCAAAACGATTACATTTTCCTCTTAGAACTGTGCAATGACGTTAGGAAAACATCATTAACATCTAATAACTTAACTAATAGAATCAACTCAGAGATGATTGATGCGGTTTAAAGATTGGTGGCTTACGATTAGGATTTGAAATTTAACTATCTGAGACTTATAAACTCACCGAACGATTGTGTAGTGAAGTTATTTTACATGAGTTTTAAAATGTGAATACTAACCAAACTTTGTATGTTTTCGAGAAATGAATTTTTAAGAAAATTGAACGGAATTTCCACTTTAATATAGTTACAGCACACATTGTCTGTGGTTACAGTTTTGCAATAAAATTGACTTTTGATCCGATTTAATCCCTGCTATTACGAAATCATCATTGTTTGAACTACTTTGAGTGAGATTAATTTGCAGGCCTACGTCAATACACAAACGGATATTTTACATCCGCTCTAAAATAACTAATTATTGTTTATGGAAAAACAAGTGTACATAAGTAATAGTGTAAGGACAAATCGCATAGTTTCAGACATATTAATAATAATTGAGCTACTTTAATGTACAATTATATGCCAGATTTCAACCATTAGGAATACTATTGTTTTTAACATGTAGACGAGCGGTGAAAGTATAAGCATGCAACAAGCGAACACACCCCTTGGAACATTGGCTTTACAAATATTTATACGAAACACAAAAAAATAACTGAAATTGTGAATATTACCTTGGCTGAAGCAGAGGGCTAGTACGGCAAAGGCTGCAATTTTGCACATCATTTTGAACTGAGTTTCGGTAAAGTACGAACAACTTGACAGACAACACTACACTGGTCGAGGTCCCGAGGAGAGGAGCGAGCGAAGACCGAGAGGGGAGAGAATAATAGGGGGGTCGGTGGGGGACAGCCCCCTGCAGGGGGGAGGGATCTCCCCCTGTGTCACACCTCAAAATAGACCTTTATGTCAGAACGCCGCTGGGCGATTAAATTTGCTCTTTTTGAGCGATCCAAAACCAAGTGGTGGCAATTTTAGGATCGGAGATTTCTTGAGTAATAAACGAGTACCTGGACACAAGCCATGGCATAGCTTTTGAATGAATAAATGAAACATAATTTATTTCAAAAATAAAATTAACTTATTATACAGAAAAATACAAATTTATATTTTGAAATTGATCCCCAAATGGGCTGTTGCCTGTGGTTGGTGATCGAGTCCATTATCACATAAGTAAAAACAATAAGATTTACACTAAATTACGCCTATATCCAGTAATCTTCAGTGTAATCTTTGCTCAATAGTGACAACTGATATTTTTACCTTTGCACTGTTTTTTGTAATTTGCAAGTATACTGTGATACTGTGGATGGCTTGTTATAAAAACATGCTACAACCATAGATAACTCTTTTGTGTACGTTTTTCCTTGTAATTTTGTTCAATACAATAATAGTTGTTATTGTATTTGCTGAATGTTAAAAAAAACTGAATCGATTGTAAATAAAATTGTGATAAAAAAACCAACGTAGTTACTTGGCAATCCATAAGGCCAATGTTAAAAAATTTAATTTTTCCAACGTAATCTGACTTTTGTTGGTAGTTTAAACTGCAGTATATTTTATCACTAGGGCCTAAAGTGACTCTTTTTGACCCGAGGTCAAGTTTTACGATCGAGACGAAACCGAGGTTGGAAAATGAGCGAGGGTTAAAAAGTTACTTTTTTGCCCGTGTGGTGAACTATATTTTTCGTCATAGTGCATCGTTAACAAAAACAAAGCTAGAAAACGAAATAATTGTTATGTAAAGATAACCTCTCAAAACGACTTGCAGCTAAATGGTACGTCGAGCAATCGACAACAATAGGCTAAAACCATCTAAAACCTTACCTAATAAATCAATCGATAAATAATTGCGATTGATACGATTGCCACAATCGAAATTTACAACTGTCTTACAACAGCTGATTTTTACTCCTTAGGGTTAAAATGATGTTTACTCCCAGGGAGTAAAAATACTACTTTTATGGCAAGTTCCTTGGTAGATACCGTGCCTACACATGTTTACTTACGGGGTTCCCATTCACTAAACCTTTTTCCAAAAATCCCGTATTAATAGACAATCCGTGTTTTCTAAGAATATGACGATGACAGCAATCCCACACTGAAAAATTTACTACTAAACCACTGTTACTTTCCATTGTTAAATCAATGATTACAAACCCTCTTGTATTCATTGGTTAAACTATGGAATTATCCACTGTAAAATGTACACAATTGTATGTGCTAGGTCTACTCTTAAAAAACACAAACGAATAAGAATTCTTCACTGTTTTTTTTTAATAACAGTTCAACGTGTATTCAAACAACCTAGCCTGTCTCTGGAGCTTTCGACGTTGATAGAAATAACCATTGAACGAACTACAAGTTTTACTTGACTAATTGATTAGTTAATTGTGTAGCCAATGACTGCATTACGTAGTGAGCGGAGCGAGTGAGGGACCTCTAGACCTCGCTAGGAAGGTTTACAAACCGATTATCCGCGGTTTAGATACAGCCAATCTCCACAATGACACTGAAGCCAATGCTCGCCAACATAGCGAGGTGGCCTTCAATTCAATTCGGGAGTTCAATTTTGTTTGAAAACGTCTCATTCTATGATAAGTAGGCCTACGAGCTACTAGAAGAAAATATTTGCATCGGGAAGGAAGTACGGCTTAGGCAGCCATAACAGTGTATACTGGAGCTGCTGTGTGTCTAAAAATACAGAAACTATATGATTTAATTTGAAAAGATACACCGATCTAAAAGTGTAAACCTACTTACTTTGAAAACCCCACTTTTCATGTGAATAGATCCAAAAGAATATGACAACATACCTTAGTGTAGCAATAACATCAATTGCTTGATATTGGTGATTCATGAATGAGATGTTTTACCACAACTCTTCATTTTATTTAAATTACAAATAAAACTGTCAGCAATAGTCAACAACACTTATACAACCTTTCTCCAAACATAACCCTCTTCATTGACCAGCTGTTGCATTGAATACTTTTATCATTCAAACTTAAGCATGTCACCCGTAGCCCTTTAGAAATCGGACAGTGGGGCAGGGCCGCTAAGAAATTCTTCCATACCAATGACTTTCGACAAATATACACAAGCTGTATTTTCCTTCCACCATGCTCTAAGCTTCATTTTGATGTGCCATATGCCTATATCTTTATTTGGTAAATGGTCTTAACCGTTTGCATAAAATTTGATTGTATTAGTTTAGTAATATAATTAAACTTTGTGGGTTTTTTCTTTGTTACCATGGAGACCAATCAAAATTTACTTTTAAAACTCTCACCTCAGAACTTTGAAAGCCCGCGGGGCAGAGTCCTAGGTTAAATCGAAACGGGAATAGTTCTATATGTATCCTCGGAGCTGTAGCTTCATTTGTGTGCAATTTGAGCCCAGTCGGTTCAGTAGTTTTTGAGTTGATCTAATAAAAACACACAGACAGACAGACACACAGACACCACCTCTTCTTTATAATAGTATAGATAGATGGATAGATAATAGATTCCAAATAAGTTACAAATATTGGTATCGTCTGAACACTCGCCTAGTAATGCCTCGAGATGAGTTGATGGTAATTATATGTAAGTTATGTTGCCCAACTAAGATAAAGTTTTTTTATGTACCCTTGACATACCGTTTACCTGGATGACCACGTTCAACCTTTAGGTTGATAGAGATGGGGTACAAAAATAACATGTAAATTACTGTAATTGAATTTACCAAAGATTAAGCTTCATTTTACCACAGATAAGAATTTCCGCACAAAAATGTATAATTAAGCCGAACATGATTTTAAGTTACTTTGCAAGACGTACTGCTTTACTTGCTACTTTAGTTTTGCTGGTGTTCTAATTGTATTAATTAATGAATTACTTTACATCATACTTACGTTAGCGCTTGGAACCACTTACTTATAAAATTAAAAACAGTAAAATGAAGTTTAAAGCTTTGCAATAGTAAATGATAAGCTTTGACTATGAGTCAATGGTATAAGTAAAATAATTTATCTTTTTCAATTAGGTTTATTTACAATGTTTTTTTTTATTTTAGTTGGAACAGCTTCTCTTAAGCATAAACTTGGCAAACAACGTCGTTCTTAGAATGATTGCAGATATCTTTTTAGAGTTATTTTTATTAATACATGGTCTACACTATACAAAACAGCGTTATTAGTATTTTTACGCACTACTAAGTTATTTTAAATGAACCTTATGCAGTATTAGTAAATTACTACTTAACCTACATTTGTAACAAGGTTACTTAATTGTTAATTCGTACACTAAACAGTTATTACAAGCTAGAACAATTTACATAGTTTACCTACAGTTTAGTATTAGATAAATTACGAAAACGAGTGTACAAATGCTTAGTAATTAATTATATTACTACATTGACATGAATTAAATAAGGTTGATGAGTTAGATGGCGATTTGTTTAAGTGTTATATTCTCTGTGCAAAGATTGGCATAGATTGAATATTTAGGTATGAGGTTGCATTCTGGGTATACAGTGCAGGACACAGAAATTAATTGTCGTATATAACAATCAGTATACATAAGCTTACTAATTCAAAACTACATCGAAATAAATCGGGGACGAACCAAACGATGTATTGTATTTCTTGTGAAAAGTTACACATTTGGGTATGAATCTACATCCTGGGTATATGTGAGAGTAGTTCAGGTCGTAAGGGCTGCAAAGATAAATTATAACGAATCTATAACACAATTTGAAACAAAGTTTTTCTTGTCAAAGCAGTCTCTGTTTCCACAATCTCTGGATGACGTCACTCTATTGTTTGAGGAACCCCAGGACTCCCACACACACAGGCAGGAAGGTGATGATTAGAGACCTCGACAGGACGACCGCAGAGTTGCACGCATCCCCGAGACAGGTCCTGCAGAAAGTGTCCTTAGACTTGAGCTGGGCGCAGACGTCGAACGTGTCCGCACGGGGTATAGTGCAGCTTCGGACAACCTCATCACCGTCGTCTCCTGGAGAAATAGAGGAGAAAATGGAGGAGAGTATATGAAATTGCAATTTAACAGCTGATCATTTAGTTAGGTTTTCGACAGACAGATTGTAGAGACAAAACTGTTTATGAAAATATATTTTAAATAGGCAACGTTTTTGGTAATAGTAGGCTAACGTCTTCATAATGTTGATCTAAAATATAAAAAATATTGAAAAATTAATAGTTTTATTTGCCTTATAACTGTCTTCAAAACATAACTTTTGAAAGGAAAAGGGTATTGCATTGGATTCGTATTGTCTCGGAAACAAATTTTGATTGTGTTATTTGCGCACTTTGCGCACGGGTACCCTCAAAGTCTATTGCTGTAAATAAATAGTTGGTGGTTAGCTAGGTGAATATAGTCACAGTACTCGACTGGTAATAAGTTCGCCAGTACCTTTTGACCCTTTTTAGAAACCAATTTCAACCTGGATTTTCAGCATGGAGCTTGCTTTTATGCTATACAACTTTCGGTTTAGTAACAATGAGAAGACAGATGTGTGGCAAGGATGTCAAAAGTCAATTTAAATACGTTAATAGCAAAGTATTCCTCAAATTATATCAATCACACACACACGTAAATAAGATATAAATGATTAAAAAATGTATCATTTGAAAGTTAATTTAAAAGATTTGTGTGATTTTAAATCAAATTTGATAAGGGATCCGAAAATAAAAGTTACGGTACCTTTGATGTTAATTTTTATATATACATTTTTAATTGACAAAGCTATTTTGCTATTTTAGTGTGGTACAATAATTACAATTCTCTGCAGAAGATCAAATATTCATACTTTATACATAATTTTGTCGCCGTAAGATTTTACTCAGTTCTGTATGTATAGCTTGTATTGGCGATAACACAGGAAGCCCAGTGTTGACAAGAATGTATTGACTTGTCGGGTTTATTCTTCTTCCCTTGGCAAGTGTGATTGATAACTGTAGACGGTCGATGTTGGTCGTCCAATAAAATGTTACAACAATCGCATAGCTTGTCCAGTGCAAAGAACCAATACTTCTTGAGATAAGCACGGTTCACCTTAGATAATTTAAACTAATAAAAAAAAACTGTTTTGTAAACATCCTTTAACCTGGTTATCATTTAATAGGGGTTTCAACTAAATTACCACTATTAAAACCTATTTGAAAAGTGCAAAGTGTGCAATTTGAATAAGCAATTTTAAACTTTTTGCTTTAGTCACGGCATAGATGACCTACCCTGATTAACGGGGCTTGTAATATAAACAATTTGCAATTAAATTAATTTGCACCAATCATATGCTGAGTTACTCGTTTTATTATCTACAGGGGAATAACGCGACGCATAAGTTTTATCACATTGTACGTTGCTGTATAGTTTGACATTGTAAACGATGGTTACATTGTGGAAAGCAACCAGGAACAATCGCAAGATTTCGCAACAAGTATAATCACAGCAATCCTGTCTGACAAGTGGGAATTACCTTGACAACTGGGTATGACGAACATCGCAAGGAAACAACAAACTAAGAACATTGCGAATATTGAAAGTTGAAATATATCTAGTACCAATAGAATAATACAAAGCTATTAACACAATGGTATACACTACTTTGACACATATACTGTAAATACTAAGTGGGGTAATGTGCAATGATTTCAATATATTTTCAATTCAGTCCTTATATAACAAACTTGAGTCCTTTTGATTTCTTCCTATTTAGCAGTACATGGCCTCTAAACAGAACGCCTCAGCGAGACAAAAGTGACATCGTCGCAGCCCATTTAGCCCAGGCAGACTGGATCAGCTGTTGCACTTAATTCATAATGGACAAGTATAGGCAATGTTTATGTTTACCCTTTTGTTATTTCTGTTATTGCCATAGCAATAGGCAGACCGGTGCAATGTTGCCACACCACACACCAACGCCGCTAGAGGTGCATATAGTAAGCTGAATTAAGAGTGAGTGTGGGATATAAAGTTATCTCTGTTGCTTAGTTTACTATCTAAAATCTGCAATTTCTTTACCCAGGGAGCAGTTATCAAAAGTCTAACAATGATAAAGAAGGACATTGAGCCCAGTTTCGAACTTTAAAAATCTACCAATATTTTGATTTGTAATGGCAATCTTTTCATAGTCAGCTCCAGGATAGCACTAAACAAACACCCAGGGCAAAGTATTGAAAGCAATTGAAAGATCAGCTGTTTTTAAGCAAGAATATGTTTTAAGTGCTCAGTGTTCAAGGATAACAGGGCATAGTTTAGAACCTTATAAGATCACTCTAACCATAGACAGATAGAATTAAATATAGACTGACAGTGCTGTGGTTAGCATAAGTTCTTGCGTCCACCACTAGGAGCGCCAGCGCCGTATAGTTATGGCGCATGCGCTACGTAACTGCACGACACTCCTAGCGGTGGACGCCAGAACTTATGCTAACCACAGCACAGCTTTCGGTATATATTTAATTCTATCTGTCTATGCTTTAACTTAACATACTTACGTTTAGTGACAGCCTTCATGCAGACGAAGTCGCTGGGCTGAACACCGTGGTAGGCGCTGTAGTACAGACCGGGAATCTTCTCTCTGATGTTCTGCATGGACTCGTGTGTACAGTCTTCCAGTTGATGTATGTTGTAATCCTTGTTAAATGGATCCTTACAGTTCGGGTCCATTCTTGAAGAACACACGTAGCATTTCAGGCTCTCCCCTGCAAAATACGGCTTTAATCGAATAAATAAGTAGGGTAAATAACAAGTCTCTCATAAGGATGATAAAAATATTGATTTTTAACAATGTAGACTGTGATCGTGCATTAATTGCGCCAACGAGTTCCTTAATTACGCCATGCCCTCAAGGGTCCCAAGAAATGCTCCTTAGTTGCGTCAAGCCCAAGCCAGGTAGTATAGGGATGAGTTTCCGGCAGAGGGAATAGCCTGATTTATAGGTGTCATCGTATCCTAACCTAACCTAACTTAACCTAACTAAACCTAACCTAACTTAAACTAACCTAACCTGACCTAACATACTCAATTATACACTCAAAGAGGGCTGCCACTTGCGGCCCAGTTAATGAAATTATCGGGTGGCTCTCTGAAGTAGTTGGCGCAATTCAGGAATACCCGACTACCTGACTCAGGTGCCATTAATACCCGCCCATATTTTAGGCCTGGTTTCTTTCGTTCTTATGTAAACAAGTCTTCTGGTGGAAACGAACCTAGAACTTGTTGTATTAGATTATGAGTAACCTTGAAGCAGAGTCAAGTAGAAATGCTAGTCTTTTATTAGGCTATACAAATATAAATCTAACAAAAAACCACTAAGTGGTAACACTTCCCCCGCCAAGTCAGCAACCCAAAAAAGACAATAAATCGCCACTTTTCCGCCAAGTAAAACAATGTAATATATGTAAGTTTGGCAACTTGGCGGCAGACTTTTGCTTGTTTTTTTTTCATTAAAGTTACGTTGGTGGATAATTTCACAAATCAACTTCTCTAATTAATTAGTCCAACTAAGTATAATAATTTCGAGGTAATCAGTAAATATAAAACCATCACTATTATGATTTTATGAAATGTGACACAAATAAGGTCAAATTTTGTAAAATAAGCTCTCATCTAGCAATGTACTATTGGGAGAGATACTTGCTCAATGAAACTAATTTTATGGTATTTTTTAAAGTGATCAAGCAAAAGTCTGCCGCCAAGTGGCCAAACTTACATACATTACACATTACATTGTTTTACTTGGCGGAAAAGTGGCGATTTATTGTCTTTTTTGGGTTGCTGACTTGGCGGGGGAAGTGTTACCACTTAGTGGTTTTTTGTTAGATTGTATTTATTTTTGTAGAAAATTAACAGTTAAAATAAAAATCCTCTTTTCTCTTATATATAGACCAGGGAACAACTACACATAAAATGAATTGGTGTTACATAAGTGTTCCGATAATTAAACCCGTATATCTAAAGACTAGTGTAAATTGAGCCCTTATTAGAGAAGTAAAAATGTAATCAAACAGATTAGGTTTGTTAGAGATAGCATAAGGCAAAACAAATATTGAAAAACTCATTTTTATCCTAAATTTACATATCACTTTTTACATTCACTTTTTTGCTTGTTTAACATACGTAGACGGATTTTCCCGATTGTTTGATTTGTTTTAGTGTATCAAAACATAAAACTAACCTTATTTAGTTAAATAAATTTTGGCAATATTATGAAGAAACAATGTTAAAACTAACCTTAGTACTAGTACTAAGTTTCAAGTTCCTAGGTTTCATATGTTTTGATAAGTAGTATTAAACTGTTAAAAATGACGAGCTGCTGTACCAGTGTACCATCGGTACACTGCATTTTTCAATGGAAAGTATCGGGGAATATCACTGCTCTAAGTAATTTTATATAGTAAGTAGCTCAAATCATTCGGTATACCTGAAAAAAATACTTTATAAAAGTTTTAAAATATTTTTTCAGCTGATCCTATGAATTTCTCTAACATTTTAAATTAATTGAGATTTAATCGCAGCTGATCCTTCTTTTGTTTTGATTTTAATCCCATGTTATTTAAATGGGCCAAAATCGTACTTTGAGGGCTTGCCAAGGGTTTATGGGTCAACGCACCGACTTGTGACCCTCAAAAGGCACATCTACACGCTAAGGGCTTTCAAACAACATAAAAAACATTAAAATTGAGCCAGTGGTTTGGGCTGTAGGTCCGTCAACATTTAAGGAGAAGAAGGAGAACACGGAAAATTTGTGAATTTTCAAACTAGTTTTTCTTGGCTCAAACACAACCTTTTTTTAAATTCTTTTTTTATTTTGCCAAGAATGATTGCCCCTATCCAGTGGATGAACAATTATTTTAATAGCTTTTGTTTCTTCAGAGCTATAGACGAGTAAAAAAGCCACTTTGTCACGTCATGTATATATACACTGCAGCAGCTGTGTACCGCTGGGGGACTTGGCGGGGCGGAACGCTGCCGCGTTCCTTAATATGGGCTGTCATCTCACCGGACAAATAGAGATACAATTGAATATATGGCCATTGACTTTATGAACGAACCGCTTTCAAAGTTTACTACGATCTAAATTATCTTTCCTCCTCTTGTTTTCCCCCTTGAGGTTGGCAGTAGAGTAGATGTGACATGCTAGAACATAAAGCTGTCCTATAAGTATGACTTGATTAAAAATCGTAAATGTTAGAAATCGCAAATTTACATAATCGCTCTCTGTCGGTAGCTCAATCAAATTTTAATCAAATACATAAATTCAACGGTCAATTTTTAACTGCCAAAACATTACTGCGAATTGTAAGTCTATTAACTAGTTCAATGAATGGACATATTTTGATAGCTTTCTAGATTTTATTTATTTATCAAAGGTGTAACTCGTCAGTCTTCTACATGGGGTAATTATTGTGCAATTGTCGATGTCGAGACGAGTGGAAGTCAGACAGCGAAGGGGTTGTCCGGGCGCCACCGCGGGGTTGAGGATCGGTCGATATGTCCCCGGTCTCCGCCAACACAACAATAAGCCATAAACGAGACTGGCAGCGCTGAAATGTCAACAGCGTTTAATTAAGCAACAAAATATCCTCAATATTGTAATATGTCCTATATAAGTAACTATTCAACTTATTAACATGAGCATTGACCTTTTGAGGCGGAATTAGACTCCCTATCTATATGGACGAGCTATAATAATTTATTATTCACATAGGACATATTTTGAGCCACTTAAGACTGCGCGACAGTCGAATGTTTTCTCCCTCCTGTTTGACAGTTTAATTTGATATACCCCGCCGCAGCAAACCTGCAGACTAAGCGAATTTCCATTGCCTAATTGGATTTTCAATTAAAACTATTGAAATAACATTAGGTTTAACAAGTACCTAAGTTTGCTACTATAGAGAGGGTAATAATGTGTGTTTTAGTAAAACTAGTTGTTACCCACGGGCTTCACCCCATTTGACTTCATAAGTTTAATACACCTATTGATTCTTTAAGTTAAGCTGAAATAAAAAAAAACATAATAGAATAATACAAACAAATAATCACACCTGATTTTAATAAAGTAATAAATTGAAAGAATAACAAACAAATAAGTACAGCTGAGGTATTTTTAACATTAGGTATATAGAAAGTTCCCTTTAGAAAGGAATAACAAAATAATGGAAAGTTTTGCGCTAGGTTTCTCGTGATGACGAACATTTTAAGTACATGGTTTATGGGGGTGTAACATGTAGTTTTCTCAAAAGTTCATGGGTACTTTGGGATTTTATGGATATTAATAGTTTAGTGTGAAATAAATAAATTTTTGAGGTTTGATCAAAATATATCCATAAACAAGCAAACTACAACGGTTAAATTATTATGTATAAAAATAACATCGACATTTTAAATTTAATTTTTTTAAATTTTCTTCGTAACCAAAAACCGTTAAAAAACACCTCGAAACACTCAAAACTAATATTTTTCTACTCATGGGTTACTTTTATAAATTTACGTCCAAAAAGGTCACCGTCTCGTTTTACTAATACGAACATCGGCTATCGTTATTTCTATGCAACCGGTATTACTCCACCAAAATAATAATAAAGTAAAACCATAAAACTAAAACTTTTGATATTGTTTACGATGAAGGAAAACAATACAGAAACAGATACAGGAACAGGTACAGTTATGGAAAGAAAAACAAACACCAAATTTAAATGAAGTTTTGAAGTATACTTTCAACAGACTCATTCAATGAAATGAAAAAAATCCATGAACCTATTGAATTATAACAAATGGACCAATTTGTTTACCTCACTTGTTAAAAAACATTTGCTAGTAAACTTCTCAATGAACATTGACTTGACAATTAGACATTAACTTTACTCATGTAATGGATATTACAATTGATCTTTGTCACCTGGAAGCATAGTTAAAGTACTTTAATGATTAAATTGTACGCTGCAAATGACAATGAGTTTGCTATGTACTATTTCTAATAGGCATGATTGAGTCATACTGCTAAATAATTAGATAGGAATAAAAATATTTTACGATATATATTTTTTATATTATTATGGTTAGATATATTGAAAAGTGTAATGGTTAAAAAAGTAACTTAATAGTAAAAAAAGAAAATGTATCAAAACACACACAATAATAAATACGACTCGATTTCCTCCCTACACGATCGAATGGTGAAGTCATTCCAATGGATGATAGTTCAACCGCTTATTCTGAGGTATGTATAAATAAACAACGAATGAACAAAAATGTCCGTGTTATTTAGAAATATGAGAAATATTTTTTTACAGGGTAAAACTTATGTATATTTTATTTTTGAAAAGAAAATTGTTAAAAGTATTTATCGTAAGTGTTAATCATACATTATGCTATACGATCAACGGTAATAAATTCTTAACTTCAATCTTCAATGGTGAATAAAAAATCATGTTTTGATATGAAAGTGCTTCCAAAAAAAATAATTTTAGACAATTGAAATAAGTTTCTAGGCAAATTTAATTAATTAAATAAACGGAATATACAATTAAACTTATTTTTTTTTACTTAAAGTACTAAGAAGATCTAAACTATTCAAAACAATGATAAAAAAGCCGAAAACAAACTAAATTCAAACCTAACCTATATTATTATGCACACTTCTTCATAATCAGCTGTTTTGTCATTTAATTGTTAAATCATCTGTCACCAGACCTACCTGAGTGTACGGAGAGGACCAGCAGGATAACAGTCACTAGATGAAGCATGGTGAAGTACTGTATAAGTCTCACAGTAAGCTACTTCATGCAAATGGTCACCAAATCAGCTGTTTTGTCATTTAATTGTTAAATCATCTGTCACCTACCTGAGTGTACGGAGAGGACCAGCAGGACGACAGTCACTAGATGAAGCATGGTGAAGTATAAGTCTCACAGTAAGCTACTTCATGCAAATGGTCACCAAATCAGCTGTTTTTGTCATTTAATTGAGAATAATTGACGGCGTGTAGGTGGACCTCATTACTCCAATTAGCGGACTTTCAAAACCGTCTCGTGCTCTTCTCCGATGTCCCAACGTCTCCCATTCATGGCTAGTATGACTATTTGTTAGTAGACTGCTTTGCTTGCATATTCCGTCACTAGTATTTTAGCAGGGAACTTGTAATGGAATAAATGGTGAACATAAACTGGTTTAACCCCTTGAGAAAAGTTGCAAGGACTTTGATGGTTTAAAATTAAACCTGTCTGTCCTTGGTCATGGTGAAAATGGTCCAAGAAACAGCTGATCTTAGTCAGTAAATATAGTTACAAAATCCCCCAATATTTCTATTCATATTTGGGTTATTGCATGTTGGGTTAGTATAATACCATATTAATTATTATAATACCTACTGAGATGAGGACTCCATCTAGGTGCGTATTCTAAACAGAATATGAGTGAAGGAATGAAAGAATGAAGTGGGATGCTTTTGTCTAGTTTTTTTACTAAGATCTGCTGTTTTATTATACAAGACCATTATTTAAAAAAATCCAATGATTAAGGGCAGCTGAATTCAGTAAATACATAAATATACGATAAATATATGTATGGTGTAAAAGAACTAGGCCTTATTAGAATATAGTAGGTAAAAACTTAAAACATATCATTAACGAGATAAATATTTTTGGGTTTAAACGGCGCCTGTCACAAATCCTTCACCATAATTTCAATAAAAAAGTAAACATGGTTTTAGATCAAACGTTCACCTTAAATAATACAAGTAGATTTCTCGTCCTATTTTATAGTCTGATAAGGGGGTATCTCTGCTATAATGTATCTTTCGTGTAAGGTTACGCTTGAGTGCGTCGCGGTTTCTCCATAGTGTGCATTTAGCTCTTTTGTAACGATGCTAGAAAACGAGCAAACAATCAGAAAGCAGCTCACAAGTATGTAGTATAGGTGTACTAGGTGTATATGGGTACTGAAGGCTGAAGGTGTAGTATAGGTATAAAACATAAGATTCAAAATCACAAACATTCCCAGACTTACACACCCTTTATTATAATGAATGATAATTGAAATAATTGACATCAGCTGATCAATAACAATGATAAATCTCTATGAAAACATGTTTAATCCATGGATAAGATCGTTTATGTGTCATGTTTAAGTTCACGGATCTAGTCGATTGTAAAGTGTATTTTCTAACAAATGTTTGCACTAGTTTACAGGGTGTTCCGATCTGTTTGTAGTGTGATCAGCATTATTATTAGTCCTGGATAATGTAACTAACAGTATATAAGTACAATCTATATATATAGAAGGCAAAGCCCTCACTGACTGACTGACTCACTCATCACTAATTCTCTTACTTCCCATTTACCTAGGAGGCTGAAATTTGGTACACTGATTCTTTAGGCATTAAATAGGAAAACTAAGCTGTTTTTATTCTGATCGGACTCTCGGGCTCCGCCCCAGTGGCTCTGGAGTTTCCCATTATAACCTTATGAGTACTCATATTTAAATGGAATTAATGAATCTTAACAGCTGTTTCAATTAAACAAGTTGGATCTGTTCTATGATGTTCAATAGCATTAAAGTTACAAGGATTACCAACAGGGTGCAGCACTATTATTTCTTTTACATTGATGACAACAGCTAATTTGCAACCAAAAGGTGAGTGAGCGTAGCGAACGAACTTCAACCTGGAGGCGAGTTAGCGTAGCGAACGAGCTAACCTGAAGGCAAGTGAGCGCAGCGAACGAGCTCCAACCTAAAAGTGAGTGAGCGTAGCGAACGAACTTCAACCAGGGCGTGATTGAGCCATGCGAACGAGCTCACTTATGATGTTAAACGGGGCAAAGCCCGCGGGTACAGCTAGTAAAGATATAAATGCATCTATAAATACAACTGTACTTGATGAGCGTATGCACTATGTGTGTCATGTAGCTTCCAAACGTAATTTACACAGATATTGTTTCGTGAATGTAGATACGGTGTATCTGCATATTGACCTTCAAAGCCAGCTTTACGTTGTCTCAATGTTGTTTATGACACATGAAAACCGAAACAACATACGGTGCTAGACCTACATGAATTTATCATGAGTGTAGAATCGTGTACGCACAGTAGCCAGTAGGCCTATAACTCATTTTACCACATACTATGCTATTAATTACTGCTATTAATTAAATACTGCAAGTAGAAGTCTCATCTTCTCGCATTCAATTGAAAAATTTAACGCAGGTAAAAATGTAAATTCGATGCCCAGCTATGTTGAAGTGCGCATACGTTGATTAATCACTTTTCTTTCAAAAATGTATAAAAAAAACATTTTCAAGATTGTGGAATAACAAGAAATAGTTAACTTGAAAACCAACTCTATAAGTACCAGACAAAAGCATACCTTTACAAAGAAGCATGTTGTGCTTCTGTGTACATAATATTTCCCTGGAGATTTAGCTTGTACCACTGACATTTGAATATTGAAATTTCATTTATAGTTCAAGATTTTATCTAACTGCATCAACCCACTATTCCTTAATCAATAGACAGATAGGCCTATGTTAACGGATTCTGTTGTTTATGGTTGTTACAGGTAAAAAACGCACTTATTAATTACTACTACAGTACAAGGATTTGATTATATTTTAAAACTTTCATCTATCACAGCTCTATTAAGAATTAAGAACATTTTCCAACACAATTGCCTACATAGTTTCTAGTTCATGTCTATTTAGTGATTTTATATCAATTTTGATTATATAAATGCAAATTGAAATTATTGGCTATGATCCATGACATGCTTTAATAATATAAAGCTTTACTTTAATACTTTACATGCTAGGGTCAAATATTATTTTGCCGTCTAATAGGTACAGCATTATCAACACAAAATATACAGGTTGAATACAGGTTTAACAATATATGTAATACGTGACTAAAGTGATTTGTACAATGACTTATCACTTGTCAAGCACGGTTTCAGCATGTCATGCTCATCAGTCATACCCTCACAAAACCACACTTACTTGCTTTCAACATAGTTAAACCGTATCAATTTGTAACAGTTAGTAAGAAATATTCATAGACATTATTATATTGTGCAATATTGTTGTATAGCTAATAAATAATAATACAAAAATAGCTAAAACAAAACAGTAACTAAGATTTACTATTACTAATTAGTTTTATTTCATACATACAGCATTACAAATATCGTTGTACTTCTTTATACAGCAATATTCTTGTATAAGGTTTGTCATCTCCTCGACGCAAACGCCAACAAAGACAGTTGATGATTGTTTATTTTCTCGATGATTGACATGTTTGTATTTATTTTTTTATTCTTACGTGTTTTTCTTTTAGGCTAATCCTTGGTTCTGATTCGTCTGCAGATTCACCTTAAACATACAATTTTAAATCAATAATGCTTTGTAGTATAAAATAAGATCTCATCGGTGAGTACTGAGCTAACTGGAGCACTGAATGAGAGAATTGCGAGACGTTGGCCGCCATTTTCACTAGTAGGGGATAAAGTACATTGTACTTAGTATATTTGAACTAGGGTATTGTGAGATTGTACGTACATAAGGCCATGAACAACGAGCAGATTCCCCTAGTTGGTATCAACCTAACAACATTACGTTTTGATTTTCTAGCAGAGTTGCCGTGTCAGTGTTGTATGGAGATACATTTACGGTTCAGTCAGTGATGGTGAGTATATCATGGATGTTAGAAGAAACTGTATGAATTAAACATAAACATATGACTTCACTGACGCGAATGTGAACCAACCTAACACCTGGTTTTGTTTCACATTTTGACTGTCTAATGCTATTGCTATTTTAATACCAACTTAGTTTTATTTCGGACCAGTGACGTAATTTGTTTACGTTTATCATCCACACCTTCTCTGTTCAAATATCCGTGGTGTTACTGTATTACCTGAGGATTGCAAAAGACGTTGAAGATCCTCTTCGCTTAGTTCACTTTTCCTCGATACTTTGACGTTTTTTCCTCCGACTTCTCTCATTCCTACTGCACGCTTGACTTCTTTTCTTGACCGTATTCTCTGAAATTGTGATAAATGAATAAATTCTACATGTAATAAAGGAAGAGTTAATGAAAGTAAATTTTACTTGGTGTTCGTAAGTTCAAGGTTTAATCTCTATAATATTTACTAAATATTTACTAGCTCCCGGTCACGACTTTGTGTAATATTTATCTGGAAAGGTTAGGTTGTATGGTAAAGAAAATTATCTAACGTTCACAAAAATATGAACCCAACATTATCAACCCAATTAACCCAAAAGTTCAATGATCATCATTTATATTTGACTGAACCACAAAGTCAGTACTAAGAAATTGAAATAGCTTCGTTTATTGAGTGGAGCGAAGCGAAGCCATACACTCCTGCCTTTGTTTTACAAATACAACTCCTCCTGAACGGCTGAAGCAATCTCAAAGAAATTTAGCACAGTCATAATAACCAACCATGGGAAGGTATAACTCTGAAATGGTACAAATCGGGCCACAGGGCTTTTCCCTACGTGAATTTAGACTTTTAAAAATTTAACATGGGCCTTACGGGATAACTTGTTGCCATGACATTATTTGCGAGATAACATTAAAAAGGTAAACAAGAGTCGCAACGTATGCTAGTCAACGAACCATCTAAAATAGGGCATTACAAATACCGTTCAGAGAAAAGGGAAGCACAATTGGATTATTATCATTGAGCATAATACCCAACAAAATAAATAATCAATAATTAGGGTAGCCGGAAGTAGGCTGATGCACCATTGCCTTAAATACTTTCCATTTATGTAAACTAGACATACCATTGACTTTGGATACTGCAATTAGGCACTACATTTGTGTGAATCAAATAAACCATTGTATTAGGATACTGCAAGTAGACAGTTAAGATTATTGCAGGATTAATATGCTAGCTCCGCTCAATTTTGCTAGCAGACAACTGCAT